TCCTTTTCTATGGTATCAGTGATTAGGGATACTATTATAACTCTCGTAACGACTGTATACGAATTAGTGGTTAAACAGTAGTGGAATTGACTTTCTTTTAAGGGAGCATTGACTCCTTTTAAAACAGCTGATAAGTGAAACAATTGACAAGAAAACAGTGTCAACTTAACTAATCTCTGCAATTAGCTAAATATTACAATTTTTTTTAGCATTGGATAATGCAGTTTGTCGGTTATGCAGTTAAAAACAGTGAAATTTATCAAATTTCCTGCAAGTTTTTTAATGAATGAAAAATTCATGGAATTTTTTTTTAGAAAAATTAAACATAATGTTGAGTTTTAGTGGAATTATTCTAGAAGTTTATCATATTAGTTGTTTATGTATTTGAAAATCTTTATTCTTCTTTAAAATCGCTAAGCATCTTTATTTTACTTTTTCGTGAAAAAAGTCAGAAAATACCAACCAATTGATAGACGACTTTTTCTTTGACAATGGAAATAGCAACAGTAAGTAACATCAACAACAATATGTAGTTAATACAAATAACAAGCAACAATAACAATATGTAACAGTATTAAAGTTGTATTTAAGAGACTATGAACAAGAATAAAGAATAAACATCCGTTTCCTTGGGTTTGTATTTCATATTTCTTTATTATCTTCATCTGTAACATCAACAGCAATAGTAGAGTTGCCCAGCAAGTTTGCAAGGAGTCAGTATATGTCTCTTCTTGGGTTATTTGGCAAATATGCACTCTTTGCAATACGAATAGGAATTCAGGTAACACCCTAGTGTTTAAGCGGTAAGTTAGTAATATAAAACAGTCACCCCAAAGCTGCAGGGTAGTAACTGCAACAGCATCATTTATTGTATGTAGTTGTAATCGTTGTTAAACAACTACTCTTGCAATTTGTGTTTCCTTCCCGATTAGTGCTTAACAATGGCAACAGCAACAACAGCAACTGTATTAACAATTACAACAACATTTAACAATAGCAACAAGACGTACATAAGTAATAAAGTATCTGAAATATTTTTCTTTTTTTAAATTTGTTCTTCTTTTCTATGTTGTTTTGTATTTATTTGATTTAACATCAAACTATCTGACAACAACTACGACTGCAAATGTTACAGTAGAATAAATTTTAAAAACTAGTCAACTAATCAAAATTTCTTTCTTTTTCTCTTTTCAAAGCAAATCGATTTCGATATGAACTTAATAAAGTAATGGCAGAGCAGCAAAATATATACACAACATGAGAAAACATTAATAGTTACTTTAAAACTGATAAAATACTTATAACTAATTTACAACAATAATATTATACTTATCAAGAAGTAAAATAACCCAGCAGTTATGAAAGTAACTAATGCGTCTCTTTTAAACAGTATTTCTAAGTAGTTATTTAACATAGCACAAGTAGTCTAGCATAGAGTCAGTTGCTACTTTATTATTTTCGATATTGTCTTATTCATTTTTCCTTACACTTTGATTTCAAAAGCCCCTTTATAATCTATATTTTATATTCGATTAATTTGACTTCACTCTAGGAAAAGGATAAGTCACACTTGAAGAGATTTAAAGTAGTTAGTAGTAACAATATTTCGAGTAGTTCTGAATAACTCTAACAAATTACAGATTACTCGATAACCAAACTTAAGTAAAAATTGTTTTTCCGCCCGATTACCTGTAATATGTTTAAGTAGTCATCAGTCATTAAATATTACTGTATAAATGGGATACATTAACTACTTTCAAGACTACTGGGTATATCTAGATACTAACTAAAGGAAATATTGTGTATTTTTTTTGTATTTAAAACATCATCTTAGGAACTACACTATGTTTGAATATCCAGAAAATGTTAAGCTCTTTTCATCCATTGTTATGACAGCAAATCAAGGCAAACAAGAACAAGAAAAACAAATATGTATGACAATGACATTTAAATACAAACAACAATAAAATCATTGAACAGCAACTTGATGATTTTCACAATTGAATAAAAGAAACCAGTTGACAGTGAAATGTTTATAAATAGGACAATAGTAAACAAGTAAGAAATACTTATTTATTTTGACTGAATAGAAAGACTTTGTAGATGGTTGGATTAAAGATTTTTGAACGGAATTCTTAAATAAAACTTATTAAATGTTGTTTTTGGCTTTTTAACAGTGGAATTTGAAATCAAGATAACATTCGGGATTCGAAATAAATGTAGCACACTTCGGGTTTCAAGCTTTGGGTTACAATATCTCTAAGAATGAAGAAGTTATAACACGGGTTAAACCTGTATTTTAAGGTAGACTTTCAGATTTCAAAATCTTCGCGCTGATATAACGTTTCTGACCAATGCTTTCTGGGTTAAAAATTTGTTGGCTTGCGTTATTAGCAATCTGGCTATGGAATGACTACAGTCAAACTACATCGAAGACGCTGACAACTTTGGACACCATATCCAGAATGTCAGATATCCTTAAACATGATGGCGATAAACTCAACAGATATTCTATATAGTACCACAACCAGAAAGATCCCAGCAATAAAATATAGAAGTAGAATTTACTCCATGGAAGTACTGAAAAAATCTGAAAAAGTAATGATTTTAACACAGGCTTGTCATAGGAGGGATGTTTCTTTTATTTGATTCCAAACTCACCACTTCTGTAGTCATTCTCAAGAAGTAATTTTATTGCTCTTTTTTTGATAGATATTCGGAAGTGAAATTGTAATATAATAGAATACTATATAAACATCACTTCCTCAGAAGGAAGTACTTCGTTTTATTTTTGCTGGGATATGTCCAATATTTTAGAGATGATTCTTGGCATATCTTCTGAAACTAAACTCAATTAAGCAACATGATTTTCACAGAGCCCTGTGTAAATTTGATATCCATGCAAGAAGACTTGTTATAACCACATCTGGAAAAGTTGTCATGATGAAGAGGAATCAATTGAGCATCTCGCCAGTCACTGATCTGCATTAGGCGATATTATTTTTAAATTTCAATAATAGCGTTGCTTCAATGGTTTGTCAGAGTTATTTGACATAAGGCTAGACAGCATTATAGCCTCCATTAGACAATTCAATTAGTTCAGAATTAGTGTGTTCTGATTGCACCAGTAAAGTTCCCCCGAATCCTGGCATAAAAGAGGAGCCAGTACTGACGTGACTACAAACTGGTGGTGTCAAATGTATCCTCGGCCTTTCTTGAAATGATTTGACATGGTACTGAACTTGAGAACTTTTTTATGGTAACACGGGAACCGATAGCCCCCAGGTATTGGTCTTTGGTCTTTTTGGGTGCACGAGGTAGCTTCCCGGGAAGATAATGTTGCAAGGTGAAATAAATATTTCGGGATAAGTTCAGAGCTGTTGTCGAAAAAACAACAGATATACATCTTCAGAGAAGTGACTGTGGGGCTAAGTGCTGCAAATGTGTTGGTGACAAATGAATTAGATACAGAATGACTGAAGGTATATACTGCCCTCGCTTACCCGTATTCCTAGAATGAATGTTTTTGATGTTTTGCAATGAATGTGTCAGATAAATAGCGTCCAGGGTTGATGGATCTTATTCAAGTGACAACAAAGAATTGACCGTTTTTTTTCGGGTATGTTTAGGCTTGGCTCTGTTCATATCAGACTTACCGTTCTCTGTGAAAAGAAACTTGTCTTTGGCTTATTTATATGTAATCGTATTTTGCACTACCGATTACGTCTTATTCCCAAATTAATAGAGATCATTCCATCTGCGTAGTTTTAATCGTAAGTGATGTTTTGACATCTCGAAAGTTACGCAGTGGATCAGAAAATAGATACCTCAAGTACTCAAGTAAAGTGCTTGTTTATGGACAGTTAGAACTACGTACAAAAATATCCCTCTCAGTATTCATTGCAAGTCACAAACAGGCGATTGTGAGTCGTCTCTAGCTCACCCTGTGGTTGAAAAATTACTACCGTGAAATAGGCGTATCACGTAAATTAATAGTTTTCTGCATCAGTACCTAACACTGTCACCCTCTCTCTCTTTATCGCTCTGTTGATAGTGTATTTTCGTGTTATCCACTTTTTATCTATATGTGATCTAAATAAAGCTTGCACTGCAGGAATGATAAGTCCAAATTGAATAAGAAGTCTAGATTTATCCAGAATAGTGTCTGTATAAGTCCCTGACTCTCTGCCTTATCCATATTTCTATGTAAAATTCTCTTTTGCTTCAATATCTTTTCAGATGTCACAAGTGGACCAAACGGACATATGTGTGTTCTAAATTAAGCTTGCACTACAATTGGTTCAGAAATGGTAAGTACTGATTGAATCATAATAGTGTTTGTGTAAGTCCCTGACTCTCTTTCTCTCTTATCCCTAAATTTTCTATTCGAAACTTTGTTGATTTTTTTCTCTTGCGCTTCAATATCTTTTCAGATACCACAAAGTGATAGGATGAAGTCAGTCAAAAAGCTAACCTAAACTTTTTGACTGATTTTTTGCTAAATCTGATCGCCATTGAATACGACTTTATTAATCTATTTTTAATATTTTGATCACAATTTCTTAGGACATTGGTATAGTTAACGTGTTATATTGTAACGATTATCAAGTATGGAAAACAAGAAGACTTACACTACTCTATCAGGATGGAATCGTGGGTTCGATTCCAACAGAGATTTTGGTTTGTTACATTATGTTGCAAGCTAGTAGGTTTAAATTTTTTAACTAAATTCATCTTTGGAAGCATAATCGTCTGTCTAATATTTTCATAAATATATGTATGAAAAAATTGATTTTTCAGAAATATCCAATTCTTAGAGATTTTACTATTCTTTACAAGTTTTGCAAATATTGAAAAATTCATAAAGTTTGTTATTTTATCCATACTATCTAATCCTTATTGATACAGTTTAGCTGTAAGTAGTCAAAGGTCAATTTTAAATCCTTAACATCAACTATAAACATTTTACAAAATATTTGTATAATAGTGGCTCTACTTACCAATTGTCATGTTATGTGGAATCTGCAATAGAAAAGTTAAAAAATTATTAATTTTAATATTTATTAAGTAAATTGTTGTTTATTTAAAGTTTAATAATATACGAGCTGTATCTTTTCTAGACTAGAGACTTAGAAAAGAAATAAGTGATATCTTTATGAAAATGCATATTTTTTAGAAATAATTTCATTTCCCGCGCTTAATAATAAGTACTTGTTTAATCCCAATAATGTATTGCCTAAAAGCAGGCGTCATAGGAGTTAAAGTTGCAAATTTGCTATACTTTGTATGTGTATTTGAATATGCAAAAATTTACGTACACCCAACAGTTCGACAAAGAGTCAATGCATCCGAAAAAGACACTGATTTTCAATAACATCTAATCAACTAGTTGGCTCTAATTTGTCTTTCGTCATGGACGTACTCTTTGTAAACGAGAATGAAGATATTCGTCACTTTAGTGTCCCCTTTGTAAACGATAGAGTGGACACCTAAACAACAAACTTAATCATTTTGTCTGTCTCTTCGTTGTCTGTGGGATGACGATTGACTTGCTCGTAGGACAAGCACATGTTCAAATAGCTGGGCAGTCGGTGACTAGGGGAATCCTAAGCTGTATGTTAAATATATATGTGGTTCAGGACTGTCCAACCGAACTGCTGGGCATACTATATATACGTGAGATTGTTTATATGTATTTATGTTTATGGTTGGTTCCTGAGGTTTCGATAGTTGTTATTTGAATTTGAATTCAAATTTAAATTTGCATGTTTGTTCGTTCGTTCGTTTGTTTGTTTTCTGGTGATGTTTGTGATTGTATTCAAATTTGTACTATTTATGTAAATTGTGTCAATTCAATGTAGAAATCAAACCAAACATAATGCAAATGTTTGTATGTATGACAGTGTGTGTGTGTGGGGGGTGTATAAAAAGCATAACATGTAATACATATGCACAAAATGTACATAAATCGTATTTGTGTAAGTGAAAATATGTATATATGCATGTGTATAAGTGAGTTTATTATTTGCAGCCCCAAACGTATTTTTGTTGATATCAAATGTTATTAATTCACAACATTTTGAAGTCACTTTTAATTTGAACTTTTTTAAATGCCACCTTCACTTGTCATTTAGAAAATGAGTTTTTTCTGTGTTATTGTTGTTGTACACTTGATTTTTAGGAATATTCAACGTTCATGATATGGGGAAATGTGCAAAATATTACAATAAAAAAATGAGCACAAAATATTTCATATAATGTGCAATATTGCATGTTTATTATTTATTATTTAAAAACAAAATGAAGCAGTTTGCAAGCTAATCGTATAGTACAGAAGTGGTTAGAAAAATAGTTAGGTACTTTAAAATTATTTAAAACTAGCTATACCCAGTATGCTTTGCTACCCTTAAAGCAATATTTGTAAATAAAAACCCACTATTTTGAAGATTCTAACTACAATAGTTTTCCAGATTTACATTACATTACACATGGGAGATGTCAAGCAAATTATTGCAAGTTCGCCTGTTTTTATCTATCGCCAATTTCTATCTATCTATGAAAAATTTTAAGAATATAAGAGTTCCCAAGATACATGAAAGTCCGCCCGTTATTCTCTAAATGTTCCCATGAATGTCAAAGTTCTTCATGTAAAATTTGAAGATTCTAGCTCTAATAGTTTCTCAGTGGGGGCTTCAAGCTCCCCAGATGAAAGCCCGCACTTTTTCCCCAAAATGTTCAAATGAATATTAAAATAATTTGTGCAAAATTTTAAGTAGCAAGTTCTATTAGTTTCCCATATAAACGAAATTTTATATTTAATTCATATGGGAGGTGCAAAGTTCCCAATGAAAGTCCGCCCGTTATACTTTAAATGTTCAGATGAATGTCAAAATTCTTCAAGTAAAATTTTAAGATTCTAGCTCTAATAGTTTCTCAGATATACGAATTTTTCTATTTAATTACATGAAGGCTTCAAGCCCCCCTAGATGAAAGTCCGTCCTTTATTCTCTAAAATGTGTAGATGAATATTTAAGTTCTTCGTGCAAAATTTGAAGAATTAAGTTCCATTAGTTTCCCAGATAAACGAATTTTTGTATTTAATTAATATGGGAGGTGCCGCTCCCCTCATGTGTAGTCCGCCAATTTATTGCCCAAAATGTTTAAATGGATGTTAAAGTTATTTATTTATATTGGGAGGTGCCACGCCTCCTACTGCTAGTCCGCCTACTTTTTGTCTTAAATAATCATATTGACACCAAAGTTTCTCCGACAAAATTTGAGGACTTTAACTGTTATATTATCTCAAATATACACATTTCATATTTTCTTAATATGGGCGTGGCTCTCCGCCCACTCAATTTCAAAATAAAAAGTAGCCCATTACCTATTCCAGACATGCACGAATACGCTGTGATGTTAAAGTTATTTATTTATATTGGGAGGTGCCACGCCTCCTACTGCTAGTCCGCCTACTTTTTGTCCTAAATAATCATATTGACACTAAAGTGGCTCCGACAAAATTTGAGGACTTTAACTGTTATATTATCTCAAATATACGCATTTCATATTTTCTTAATATGGGCGTGGCTCTCCGCCCACTCAATTTCAAAATAAAAAGTAGCCCATTACCTATTCCAGACATGCACGAATACGCTGTGAAAATTTGAAAATCGGTTCAGCCGTTTAGTAGTCTATAACGTTCAAACATACAAACAAACACACATTTATTTTTATATACATATATAGATTAATATAATATGGCCAAAAGAATCTCATCGATCAAATTTTCTTCGAGTTGCATATATTCAATATAAGTTATTAAAAAACTTATTTCACCTTTTTTTGTCCACTTGTGTAGTTATGCATGAAAACTAGAAAGTGTATTTTTTACATTATTTATTTAATTTACTTTTATAGCTTTTTTTATAACGATTAATATTTTTTTTATTAAAATTTAATATATTCGTAGTTTTTGAAATAAAAAAAAAACAAATTATTTAGCTCAAGGATAATTATTTAAATATTCCGTAGTAAAAGCATGATTTATTATAAATCGTATCTAAGGTTTAAATTCAGTTTTAAAGTATTTAAATGTGTTAGTTTAGACATTTGTTGATACATATGAATGTGTGTGTTTGAAGGTTTTTTCTTTTTGTTTTTTTTTTTTTGTTGCAGACAACAAAAACCAAACCCAAAATTGCATAAAACAAAGGTAACCACCATTTGACCGTTTAAAACGTTTTTGTTTATAAATCTTTTTTGTTGTTTTAATAACGTTTGACCACATGTGAATTTTATGTTTTATATTAACCACACATTCATACGGACATACAGCAACAAAAACAATTTTTACACACATATACATAAATGCAGTTATACGGATGTATTCGCGTTGTACAGTGGGGAAGTTTTGTAAAAACGGGAATAAAACTGTAGTTTTTTAATATCACTCTCTATATATGAGAATTTTCTAAGAATTTAAATATATTTATTTAATTTTTTCTAATATTATCCCATTGTGCATTTGAACACTTATGCCTATAGTCGTGCCAGAAATATAAATTGTACACTATAACAAAACATTTGCTCTTATCATGTATGAGAGCACAAACGTAATTTTTATACAGGATATTAAAGGAATGTTTTAGTACATATTGCTCATTTACAACAAGACTGTCATAAACAAAAATTCGCTACAGAATACGATTTATAGTAAAGTCTTTCATATAGTTTTAACAAATTTCAAATACGATTATTATTTTCGTTAAAATTATTCACATAATGATTGCAAATGTTTCTTAGTTTTAAAGCAGTTTCAAATCTTACACCTAGGCCTCAATCGGACCTGTTGTGAGCTTCTCTATCATTGTCCTTATTCTATACCCAAAAAACCTTAGCAATAGGGGAAATTTTGTGTAAAATTTTTGGCACATTAGTTTCATCCGTTTACAATTTCAACAAACAGATGGACAGAGAGACGGACAGATATGGATGGATCGTCTTAGAATTCTATAAGGACACATAATATACACATAAATACTTTTGTGAATATCTGGATACTATTATGATATGTTTCAAACGGAATGACAACAAAAAATTTAAGACAAAAATCATAAAGTCGAAGTGCTTTACGTGTGTACCTGGCGTGGAGCCCTATCTCACGGTGGAACTTTTTCAACCACTGGGTGAGTAAAAAGTAAACAACTCACCACTGCCCCATTGTGTATCTTACACGCAGGTCGCAATTTTTGTACATGGAAAAAGCCGGTCCATGTACAAGCACTTTGCTGAAGTACTCGAGCTATCTAATCTCTTGCCATAGTAGTCACGTTGGGGAAAGACAGGTGTCATGAGCAAGCTCTATCTACCCCGACATAATGTCGCCCAATAACACTATTATGGCTCTGTTGATTCGGCAACAGTACCTAGGGGACGTAATTGGTAGTCCGAAACACGGATCATATTAATTGACAAAGACCCACTGTGATAAGTTCAGCATTGCACCATATACTCTTCCCCTTTTTGCTAGACCGTAGTCTAAGATATCGTTGATCAATACACCATCACACATCCGTCAAATCCATCAATCACTCCATTCTCTCTATAGAATCAAAGTAGACATCAGACACATCGTTCATCTTCGTATACCCAATCTTTGCATTATCAGCTCAATTTCAACATTTTATTAATCCACAGTCATGTTATGTAATTTGTACCGCTCCTTGCATCTAGGAACGATAACAGAAATGTATCTTGAAAATTTATATTTCACCGTGTATCAGTCTTTTAACCAAGCACCCACTTCCTGCGATTTAGGTTTCAACCACAGCCACTACGTGGATCCCGATAGAACCTCAATCAACTGACCTGCCAGGACAAGTCCTGTGGGCAACTGGGCACCCGTAGTACCAGATTATGTGGTGCTCTTGTTACCCCTCTTTCCAATTTATGCAAGGACTAGGCCAGTCAGTAAATTGTCAACACCAATTTATAGTGCCGGAAGACTACAGGTATTGGTAGCA